GTTTGCATAACCAAAGAATTTCTGCACAAACTGTCAGAAACCGTCTCAGGGAAGCTCATCTGCATGCTCGTCGTCCTCATCGGGGTCTCGACCTGACTCCGGTTCGTCGTAACCGACTTGAGTGTGCAAATGCTCACATTCGATGGCGTCTGGCACGTTGGAGAGGTGTTCTCTTCACGGATGAATCCCGGTTTTCACTGTTCAGGGCAGATGGCAGACAGCGTGTGTGGCGTCGTGTGGGTGAGCGGTTTTCTGATGTCAATGTTGTGAATCGAGTGGCCCATGGTGGTGGTGGGGTTATGGTATGGGCAGGCGTATGTTATGGACGACGACCACAGGTGCATTTTATTGATGGCATTGTGAATGCACAGAGATACCGTGACGAGATCCTGAGGCCCATTGTTGTGCCATTCATCCACGACCATCACCTCATGTTGCAGCATGATAATGCTGCCCCATGTTGCAAGGATCTGTACACAATTCCTGGAGGCTGAAAACATCCCAGTTCTTGCATGGCCAGCATACTCACCGGACATGTGATTGAGCATGTTTGGGATGCTCTGGATCGGCGTATACGACAGCGTGTTCCAGTTCCTGCCAATATCCAGCAACTTGGCACAGCCATTGAAGAGGAGTGGACCAACATTCCACAGGCCACAATCAACAACTTGATCAACTCTATGCGAAGGAGATGTGTTGCACTGCGTGAGGCAAATGGTGGTCACACCAGATACTGACTGGTTTTCGGACCCCCCCAGACCCCCCCCAATAAAGCAAAACTGCACGTTTCAGAGTGGCCTTTTCTTGTGGCCAGCCTAAGGCACACCTGTGCAATAATCATGCTGTCTAATCAGCATCTTGATATGCCACACCTGTGAGGTGGGAGGGATTATCTCGGCAAAGGAGAAGTGCTCACTATCACAGATCTTTTCAGATTTATGAACAATATTTGAGAGAAATGCTTATTTTATGTATAGAAAATGTTTTAGATCTTTGAGTTCATCTCATGAAAAATGGGAGCAAAAACAAAAGTGTTAAATTTATATTTTTGTTCAGTGTACCTACCTGTCTATCTATCTATCTATAGGTAGATCTATATCCATCCATCTATCTAAATGAAACAGATCTAAAGTATTTGACTCCAGGGTTAATGAATGCAATGGATCTGATGATGGCGGACCAGAGGAACAAGTGTTTCTCTACAGACGGCTGAGCAAAGGCAAAGTAAAGTAAAGTCTGGGAAGAGAAGGAGTTTGGGGGGTAGCTGAGGTTACTCCTTAAAACCCCTTCCCTGCTCTCATTCCTTATTCATGCCCTAACCGCGGGGGGCACTTCCTTGCCAAAACATGAGCTTCCTGTGGTGGCGTCTCCAGTAAAAAGAGTAAAAGGCAGTGTGTGTGAACGAGGACAAGCAGGCACCAGTCTGCCAGACACACAGCAGACACTGAGTTTCATTCATTTATGAAACATATGCCTCTAATATTAATACACAAGTCGGGAATTCAATAAAGACGCGTTTTTTATGATAAATGCCTGCAGTTAAATGGGATGTATCGAGGTCAGTATTGCAATGCTACCACAACATGCAGACAGAAATGAAGGATTACTCAAATACTATACCATAAAGATTAATCAGCAACTATTTCATATTTATGTTATTGTACATGCAATAATGCTATTTACAGCCTCTCATATATGGAGATGGTCTATTATTCCATTTTATAGTCATCAAAAGTGAACATATTTGGGTTTTGGACAACAACAAAAAGTTCAAGGACTAGCTTGGAATTTTCTATTTTTTATTTTACAGACCAAACATTAATTAAATAATACACATAATCAGCTTTAAGACCCAATCTATTGCACCTATTGACATAATCAACATCAACCTCTCCTTGTAGAAGAAAGGCCACTTTTAACATTTGTATAAGTAAAGAGGATGTATTTAAATGTCTTGGTTTGTCAGTATGAAGACATTTAATTTAATAAGAATTGAAACATAGAAAAATCGAATATTTCTGATATTTTTGCATAAAAGTGTTCATATATTAAAATCAAATAAAAAGTATTTAATGATTTCCGATGATCAACATAGTTTTTAAAGAAGAAAAATGTCCTTATTGCAAAGGCTGAAAACATCCAAGGATTCCTGATAAGTTATTCTTGTTTAAATAGATCTCAAATACTTAATAAACAAGACAGATATTTTAAAAAGTCATGTTTTTCTGCTACAAACAAACACAATTCTCAGATATTTCAGTCTTTTCTCTATTGGTTTATTTCTGCTTGGTGTATAACAAGTCAGAAAATAGTGAACATCTCCATCCCAGTTTCTCAGAACCCAAGGTGATGATGTGATTAAAGTGAGCTTGGTTATCAAAAACAACATCTTTTTTTCCCCACTGGTTTAATGTCACTTTGGGGGAAAAGTTCCAAGACTTGAGTTTTCCCCGGAATATTTTTTTGATTACATCACATGTTACTTGTTGGAGGCTTTTCATCCAAAGCGACTTACATACTCAATACTGTGGGCAATCCCCACAGGAGCAATTTGGGGTGAAGTGTCTCGGGGACACAACGACATGCTGACTGCAGTGGGGTTTGAACCTGTGCTCCCCTGATCCCAACACCAAGGCTCTATCCACTGCGCCACACGCCTCCCTAGACTCTGGTTGTTGTCTTACACTAAACAGTTTGTTTCTTAAAGTATTTTTCCAAAAAATAAATCAATAATCGGCCAAACATCTCATGAGTCATATCTGAAGACCTGGATATTGATTTAGAGAGTGGGCTGAGACATATTGCTCTTTCCAAGCTCTTCCAGGAAAGTTAGGAAACATCTGTACTCACTTCTTCTTTAGAAAAAAAGACTGGAGAGAGAGGGGATTTATGAAGATACCGTGGATAGTAACATAGTACATTTACTCAAGTACTGTACTTAAGGACGACTTTAATTGAGTATTTTTATTTTATGCTACTTTGTACTTCTACTCCACTATAAGCCAGTATGGTACCTTTTACTCCTCTACATGTATTTGACAAACACAACAGTTACTTGACAGACAAATAAGCTGAAACAAAGTATACATAAACTGATAACTTAATACGAATAAATAACTAATACTTTTTCCTTTACAAAGTAGTTAAGTCTAGCTCTACCAGCTTTAATAAACACATTAATGCAGTACATTTTTTAAATGGGACATTGCGCACAATAAGTACTTGAACTATATTTTGAAGCTAATACTTTTGTACTTTTACTTGAGTAACCTTTTAAATACATTACTTTTACTTGTAACATAGTATTCCTCCACTCTGGTACTTTTACCCAAGTACATGATGGGAGTACTTTTCCCACCTCTGCTTTTGGTATGTTAAATATATGTACATGCCAACAATTTTGTACTTCTACTAAAGTAAGATTTAAGATGCAGGGCTTACACTCTGGTACTTTTACTTAAGTTAAATATCTACTTTTTCCACCTCTGTGTGAGATATGCCACTGACAAGCCCACTGTTGACTTTTCTCAGGGGGCAAATTTACATTGTTCCAGGCTACACCTACATTAGCCTTGCTAACGTTAGCAGTTACAGTTTGTCATTAAAACACACAAACACATACTTTAAGAAACAAACTGTTTCGGTTAAGACAACAACCAGAGTCTAGGGAGTTGAGAAATGTCTGTTTTAATACGTTAAGAGACCAAATGGATACTTTAAACCATGGTAAAACTAAAGGAGATAACCTCAGCTAGCTCTTAGCTTTGAGGTCAGGCATGCAGGGAATTTCAGTAATTGCACTTCCTGTTTGAACGTGCGCTTTTCAAAACAAAAGCACCGATCTCGACACGTAGGCACAACCTTTCAAAAACGTTCCCTTCAACTCTAATAATTAGAAAAAACTCCCAAAGAACGTGAAAATGTACACAAAATATGAAAAAACACTTATTAGAGATAGAGAAAAAGTTAATAGAGATGTGTTTTACGCAATTTCTGTATCTTTTGCAGCACAGATTTAGAAAAATGTTATCACAAGTTAGTTCCAATTATCCAATGCAATTAGGGAAATGTATATATACAAGTATAAATCTATGTTGTGCAAAATAACATCATATAGATTTATACTTTCTTATACACAAGTGTCTTGATTTTGTTTATCCTTCCTATAACTTACTCGACTGCTCCTTTTACTCTTAAGCTTCAGGTGTAAATTAGGTGAAAAACATACCTCCAGTTTTCAAACTACACAAATGCAATAAAGGAAATGTCAATAAATGTATAAAACTTTGTTGTGTTTTGTTTATTTTCAAATGTGTCTTGCTTTTGTTTATCTTCCCTAACTTGTCCCTCTTCATATTTGACTCGGTGCAAATGGGTTGGACAACATAACTCCAGTTTACAGAGTTAAAAGCTTTAAAAACCTAGCCTTACCAACATTATTTTCAAAAATAAAACGTAAGGTTATCTTTGAAAGATGAAAAATTAGAAATGTATAACAGATTTAAAACCATTGCTGAGAATAATAAAAAGATTTGTGAAAAAAACGACAGTAAAAAACCTGTTTTTTTAGGCAATTAATTAAATATGAATTGCCTAGAAGAGAGACAAAAGCCCAATATATCACAAATATATGATAAACACCGAGTTATTTTGACACAGATTAAATAATAAATGTCTAAACGTCAACAGAGACATTTATTTTGAAATGTTACGTACATTACGTCAACTGATTTTTCCACCTTGACAGTTGACCAAAAATCTAATGTAATGGTTAAAAACAAAGCATACCAAGCAATTTAAAACAAACACATATACAAACCGAGTCTTTGTAGTTAAAATCCCTTTAAAGTAGCTTTTTTCGTTTTCTTTTTCACTCATTAAATCCCCCACAGCTGTCAGAAACAAATGGCAAAGCTAATGCTAATGCTAGGCTAACAATGTTAGCATAGCCGGCTAAAAGAAAAAGGCAAGTGTCAGTTAAGCAGATAAAACGCTCATACCTGATGTTTCTCCTTGTTTCTGCTGTTTGATACTTTGATAAATGTCCAGAGATTATTCCTGGTTGTGTCTGGTATTTATAGTGAGTTCACAGCAGCAGCGGATCTCTCTGCTGGCAGCAGCCGGATCCTCGGCCCCCTCCTCCGGTTGCATCAGCATCTCCCACCACCCTCTTTAACAGGGAGGTGGGAGAAACACATATTAAATACTCCTGAGTATTAGGACTCAAGTATTTACTCAAGTAATGCGCTCTATTATTTAAGTGTGAGGTACTCTAGCAGTGTTGGAAAGAAACTAAGTAACCTTACTCAAGTAATGCAATTAAAAATAAATGGAGGTAATTGTGCAATGTTGAAAATAAAAGTACATTAACTCTAGTAATACACACCACCCTCTTTAACCAACTGTTTCACAGGGAGACACTTCACTGGCTGCAGGGCAGGAGAAACACATATTTACAAAATACTAAGTGAGGAAAAGTAACCAAGTACTCAAGTATTCACTCATCTCCATTATTTAAATGTGAGGTACTTTAGCAGTGTTGGAAATAAACTAATTGACCTTTACTCAAGTATGCACGTGTAAGGTAATGTCCAGTAATGCACACCACCCTCTTTAACAGGGTAGACTTCACTGGCTGCAGGAGAACACATATACAAAATACTCCTGAGCAGTGAGGAAAAGTAATTAAGTACTCAAGTATTCACACAAGTAATGCACTCCATTATTTAGTACTCTAGCAGTGTTGGAAAGTATCGAAGTGACTTTACTCAAGTAATGCAATTAAGAACAGATTTGAGGTACTTTTGCTTGAGCAGTGTTGGAAAGTAACTAGTACTCAAGTATTTACTGACGAAATGCAATATATTATTGAAATGTGAGGTTATTGAGCAGTGTTGGAAAGAAACTAAGTAAATGTACTCAAGTCATGTACTTGCACACACAAGTATTCATGTGAGTATAATTGTACTCTTCTTGAGTATGTCCATGTTATGCTACTGAATACTTCTACACCAATACTAGAATTTGAAAGCAAATATTGTGCTTCTTCAACCACTTGCATTGTAATTGTATCAGCAACTAAACATCAACAGAATAATTGTGCACTGACTGTATTTTCACCAATAATAATAATGTACAAAGAATGAAACATTGCAAAAATAATGTTACCAAGTCTTTATTTACACAATCATACATACAAGAAGTCTCATCCTAAGAATCACTAACAGTTATCGCTTTTTATTTTACATAAGCCTTTAGGGATAAGGATTGTGCCAGCAAGTGTTTCAATACTTGCAGTGATTGGGACAAAACAATATTAATGCAAGAACACAGTGTATTTTCAGTAACACTATAGGTACATGGATGATAACCCTATGCCAGGAGACTTGAATATGAGTGAATAACTGTGCCTTAAAAAGGTCCTAAGAGGAAACATTTGGTATTTAAAATCCAGGTGATTTTATTCCTACAGCAGTGTGGTTTTGTCCTTTTAAAGGTGGACTACAGAGAAGGAATGCAGCAGGAAGCAACACATATACAGAATTAATTAAAGAGGTCCTATCATGTTCAGGTGTATATCAGTATTTAGTGCATCTACTGTGTCATGTCTTGTTGGAGCGCGAGCCAATAAAAGTGTTACATAGTGATGTTACTATGTTCTGGAAGTAAACAAGGAAGTCAAATGGAGGCGTTACAGGGATTTGTGCCTTTGCAGACCATTTACATGCACAAAAACCTGTATAATAAACTACAAGAATGAAGAAAAAAAAAGCATAATAGGGCCTCTTTAAAATCAGACATCAAACATGGAACAACATATTAAACATACAGACAAAAACATTTGAAATTAAAATTATACACAGCACAGCATTCATTACATATCCTGGAATGATTAGCCTATTTCTTCTCTGTACCACGTCCATATAAAGCCCTCATATCGACACACAACACCACCACCAGAAGCAGCTGCAAACTGAATAAGGTCACTATACAAATCGTATACCTGCACACTTTAAAAGGTAAGGTCAACATGCCTGCATGTTGCTTTGTGTAACTACAGTTTTCAGTCTCGTATTTTAAAAAAAAACTGTACAAAATGAAGGTAAACATTTAGGGTAATGTTTGGTCATCAGCAGGGGACACATTGGCACAGGTGAGCTTTATATATCAGAAATAAATCTTAATACAGCAGAAATCCCTCCTCTGTGAATATGGAGCTAATGTGCACAGTGGAACAGAACAGCAAATCATTTTTAAATTAAAAAAGGGATGATATATTTTGTCCTATATCTTCTTCTGACAGCAGGCTGTGGTGATTATGGCTGTTTCCAGTTTAATGTGTTGCTGAGTCCACCTAGTGTCCACATTAAGCATCCTCACAGTAACACAGCAGCGTCCGCCTCATTAATCCTCAGATATTCAGCCTGTGCACAGAATAATCAGTGCACCATGTTCCCGTTATACTTCAGTGGTGAAGAGGAGGCTTTGACGCTTGCTGTCGGGGGTTGGGATGCCCTCCAGCTGAAGGAAGTAGAGGAGGACTTGAACCTGGGGACACAGAACAGGAGATCAGAGCCTAAAAAAGTGAAAAATGTCCCTGTGTAACTTATCAATATAGAGCTGCATGTATGAGTCCAGCACCTTGAAAATAAGTCAGCATTTTATAGCTCTGCTGGTTAACTTTTTCACCTTATAAATATCTTAAGTACAAACCTTAGTAGATAAGAAATGTATTGATACCAGAGAAAAGAGTCAAAGAAGCAGAGGAAACATGCTGATATAGTGATAGGTAAAATGACACAGGATAAGAAAGAAGTGGATACAAATATAAATAACATAACAAAGCTTTATATATGTATTCACCTTTCAGTTATTACATAGGGTGTTTGCACATATAGTATGGTGTGTATCATTGTACTAGACTATACAAAATATATTAATGTATGAATAAATATAATTGCAGAGGATACAGAAACTCCACATTTTACAATGATATATATTGTTCTGAATCTCTATCTTTTTCTACCTCTATTTTCCCTCAAGTTCAAAACCCCTCTATCTGAGTTTTGATATACTCATTTTAAGACTAGGAAAATCTTCTAAAGGGTTGTGTTGAGCTAGGTGCTTTTGTTTTGAAAAGCATACGTCCACACAGGTACAATAACTGAAATTCCCTGGATGCCTGACTTTACGGCTAATAGCTAGCTGAGGTTTTCCCCCTGTAATCATCTGGAAGTGTTTTTGGGTGCCTGAAATAAGGTCTGTGGTTAACACAAGCTGAAGAGATTTTAAAGTTTTGTTCTACAACATAAAATACGTCACCCACTGGTGGATTTAAAAATGTCAATTGCTATCAAGTGTCTAAATGAGACGACTAAACATCATCACGCCCAACTTTAGCCGCCTTTAGCTTAGCGGTGGTGACGTGAAGTCATGTGACCGTGCTGTAGTTCCTTTATAGCCCAACATTAGCCACCTTTAGCTTAGCGGTGGTGACGTGAAGTCATGTGACCGTGCTGTAGTTCCTTTATAGCCCAACATTAGCCACCTTTAGCTTAGCGGTGGTGACGTGAAGTCATGTGACCGTGCTGTAGTTCCTTTATAGCCCAACATGCTTTTGACTTCAAAAATCATAACTTGGTGTTAATATGTGGAGATTATCCTGCTGAACTAAACGTGTAAGCATCATAAACGTTTGTTTGACACAGAGATTATTTTCGGAAATAACCATTGGCTTTTTATCGAGGGAACAAGGGAGATGTTGCCGTCAGGGTCGGCCTACAAAAATCTATCATCCCTGCATCACTCTATATTCTGTCGCATGTTGTACCTGACACATGACCTCCAGAGACCAGCTGTCGTTCATAGAGATGGGCGTGGAGCTGCTGGAGAGTTTGCTGTCTTTCTCTGACGGCCGCAGCAGAGTCGGGCCAAACACGGTGGCCAGGTTGTGCAAAGACATCTTGTTGACGCCCTCGTTCTCAGTCACCCTGCAAGAACAAAGCAGAACATTGTCAATGAGTCAACAGACAGCTTGAGAGTTGAGTTTCTATCCAATCCAAAACTTTTATATTTGGTTTGCCATAATTTTTACATCCATAAAAGTGATATAGAACATTACTTTAGCACTTTCAGGACAAGTATTGCTACAAATATGAACTTTTAACAACTAATAGCGTCATATTTATGTTGTATTCTAAATATGTAAAGACAATAAATCATAATTTGCCTATTAGCTGTCAATTAATGATGCTTTTAAGTTTCCTTTGATCGCTAGGCTAGCAAGTGACAATGACCCTAAATAGCCATTACAAATGTACATGTACCAATTACTGAAAAATTGGTAACATGCTTACCAAAAAACTAAACAAAATCAGACAAATACAAGACGGAGGTGTATTACAATAAAAACAGTTAATTTCTGGAATAGTTTTGAAAAGGAAATGAATGTGCAATATGCTTAACAGATAAACAAAAATATTTATATGAGAAATATAACCATATATTACCGCTTGAGGTGGTCGAGCAGGAAGAGGAAGGTCACCAGGTTGGCCTCCGGTAGAGACAGCAGCAGGTTCAGCATGCAGCTCTCTTTCGCCTCCCTGTCAGACAGCGCTGAGGGACAAAAACACACGAGTCAGGTCCAGAATCATGTCTGACAAGTTCTGACAAGTCAAATTTGAAAGTCTGGATTTAACAAGTCCCAAGTCAAGTCCCAAGTAAAGACAGGCAAGTCCGACAACCAAAAGTCTAAGCAGTCAAGTGTCAAGTCAAGCCTGACAAGCCAAAACCAACCAATCTCAAGTCAAGTTCCAAGTCAAGACAGGGAAGTCCCGAAACCAAATGCCAATTCAAGTCTTCATCAGTCGACACTAACAAACCCAACAAACCCAGAGTCAAAAGTGACAAATAACTGTTCCAAGTCAAGACTGACAAATCAAGTTCCCAGTGAAGACAGAAAAGACCAAAGTCACATTTCAAGTCAAGAATGACTCATGCTAAGTCTAAACTAACAAATCTCCGGTGAAGTTCCAAGTCAAGACCCAAATTGAAATGAATACGTTTAAAGTCAAATCCCAAGTCAAGGCAGCAAAGCCCTGGAACCAAAGGCCAAGTCCAGTCGTTACAAATCAAAAAACGGACTAATTCTCAAGTCAAGTCCCAAGTCAAATACGTACAAGTTTAAAGCCAAGTCCCCGGTCAAAACTGATGAGTCACATTTCCTGTCCAAAGTATTGTCGAGTCCCAAGTCAAAACGTACAAGTCTGAGTCAAGTTCCAAGTCATGTCAACTGGATGATAATGAAGTGTTGACTGACCGATGCCTCCAGCGAAGTTTGGGTACATTTCGTCGGTGAACAGCGGCTCCGGCAGCTCTCTAAAATACAGCTTCAGAGTTCCAGCGATGGCGTTCACGTCCATCTCCCTCATCATGAGAGACACGTCTCTGTTGTCTGCGGGGAAGATGAGACAACAGTTACTAAACGAAAGGCCAGCACTCATGAATCCTTTAAAAAATCTCTCAAAACTCACTTATTCACTCTAGCTTTCAAACTCTTACTCGCACTTGGATTAGGACTATACTGTTTACTGTATGTTTTTTTGTTTTCTTTGTACTGTTTCTGTTCCTGATTTTATGTAAAGCGTCTTTGAGCACCAGGAAAAGCGCTATAAAAATCCAACGTATTATTATCATAATAAACACCACATTTGTCTACAGGTATATATCTCTTTTTCATTAGTATAAGTTATCAGCAGAGGTGGGAAGTAGTGGAGTACAAATACTTTGTTACTGCACTTAAGTACAATTTTCTGCTATCAGTACTTTACTCCACTACTTACTTTTCTGACGACTTTTTACTTTGACTTCTTACATGTTGAACACAAATACCTGTACTTTCTACTTCTTACATGTTGAACACAAATACCTGTACTTTCTACTTCTTACATGTTGAACCCAAATACCTGTACTTTCTACTTCTTACATGTTGAACACAAATACCTGTACTTTCTACTTCTCACATGTTGAACTCAAATACCTGTACTTTCTACTTCTCACATGTTGAACTCAAATACCTGTACTTTCTACTTCTTACATGTTGAACTCAAATACCTGTACTTTCTACTTCTTACATGTTGAACCCAAATACCTGTACTTTCTACTTCTTACATGTTGAACTCAAATACCTGTACTTTCTACTTCTTACATGTTGAACTCAAATACCTGTACTTTCTACTTCTTACATGTTGAACTCAAATACCTGTACTTTCTACTTCTTACATGTTGAACACAAATACCTGTACTTTCTACTTCTTACATGTTGAACCCAAATACCTGTACTTTCTACTTCTTACATGTTGAACTCAAATACCTGTACTTTCTACTTCTTACATGTTGAACACAAATACCTGTACTTTCTACTTCTTACATGTTGAACCCAAATACCTGTACTTTCTACTTCTTACATGTTGAACACAAATACCTGTACTTTCTACTTCTTACATGTTGAACACAAATACCTGTACTTTCTACTTCTCACATGTTGAACTCAAATACCTGTACTTTCTACTTCTTACATGTTGAACACTAATACCTGTACTTTCTACTTCTTACATGTTGAACCCAAATACCTGTACTTTCTACTTCTTACATGTTGAACACAAATACCTGTACTTTCTACTTCTTACATGTTGAACCCAAATACCTGTACTTTCTACTTCTTACATGTTGAACTCAAATACCTGTACTTTCTACTTCTTACATGTTGAACACAAATACCTGTACTTTCTACTTCTTACATGTTGAACACAAATACCTGTACTTTCTACTTCTTACATGTTGAACTCAAATACCTGTACTTTCTACTTCTTACATGTTGAACTCAAATACCTGTACTTTCTACTTCTTACATGTTGAACCCAAATACCTGTACTTTCTACTTCCTACATGTTGAACTCAAATACCTGTACTTTCTACTTCTTACATGTTGAACACAAATACCTGTACTTTCTACTTCTTACATGTTGAACTCAAATACCTGTACTTTCTACTTCTTATATGTTGAACACAAATACCTGTACTTTCTACTTCTTACATGTTGAACTCAAATACCTGTACTTTCTACTTCTCTCATTTTCCAAACAGCTGGTTCCTTTAGTCTGAATGTGTGTTTGGTGCGTGATCATTATTCTTTAGAGTCATTGCGTGCCTATTGATTTGAACACGATCCGTGTATCCATCATTTCCTGGTCTTCTCTAAAGAAGAGGGACCAATGGAAACGTTGTCATGTTGCCGTTGTTCAGCATGGAAACATTCATTAGCTAACAATGACATTATTGTTCTATTAATATAAAGGGAGGTCAGGTACTCTTTAAAACAGCTGCTAGTTATGGGTACTTTTTACTTAAGTAAGTTTCAAAGCCTCTTTACTTTCACTTGAGTAAAGAAGTTTAGTCAGTACTTCTACTTTTAGAGTATTTTTAAACACTTGTATATGTACTTCTACTTGAGCAAAAGTACTTTTGCCATCTCTGGTTATCAGTTTGAACTCACTTGAATCAAATGCTGCCTTCAGGGCCTGGATGTCCGTTGCGACGCCAGAGACTCTGTAGATTCCCACCTCGTCCATCCCTCGCCTCTCGATCTCCTCCACACACTGCCTCACGATGAGAGGAACCTTCGAGCGCTCTCGCCTGGTGAGGAGTGACACAGAAACATGTTTTAAAAAGGGAATAAGGGGCTTGTGATAGATTGAATATACGCTATGTATGGTGGCTTGTAGTAGTACCTGACTATATCATAAAAAGAACGATCTCCTGGGAGAGTCTGACTTAAAAACAAAAGTTGACAAATAACTTAAAAAATAAAATCAAACAATAACTGATTAAAAAATAAGAGCGACTAATAACTGATTTCAAAATAAAAGTGCGAAAGAACTGATTCCAAAATAAGAGCGATGAAGTAACCCTTCAAAATAGGAGCGACCAAGAACTGACTTCAAAATAAGAGCGACCAAGAACTAACTTCAAAATAAGAGCTCCCAAGAACTGACTTCAAAATAAGAGCTACCAAGAACTGACTTCAAAATAAGAGCTACCAAGAACTGACTTCACAATAAGAGCGATCAAGAACTGACTTCACAATAAGAGCTACCAAGAACTGACTTCAAAATAAGAGCTACCAAGAACTAACTTCAAAATAAGAGCGATCAAGAACTGACTTCACAATAAGAGCTACCAAGAACTGACTTCACAATAAGAGCTACCAAGAACTGACTTCACAATAAGAGTGACCAAGAACTGACTTCAAAATGAGAGCGACCAAGAATTGACTTAAAAATAAAAGCATCCAATAACTGACTTCTAAATAAGAGAAACTAAGTCAACCTTCAAAATAAGAGCAACCAAGAACTAACTTCAAAATAAAAGCATCCTTTCCCTGAACATTCCGTGCAATCCTACATTCATTCAATACGTCAGTTAGTCTTAAAGTATTTAATTAAATAAATTAATAGGAATGATCGTTTAGATTGATGGGATAGTGGGTAAAGTAGTCAATAGATGGAACAATACAAACTGAAACTCACTTAGTAACGACGTTGATCTTCACTCCGAAGACGCCGGACTGTTTTCTCGAAGGCATTCTCTTCAGACTGAACTCTCTGCTGGTGAACTTCATCGAGAGCTTCACCTCCACCTGAAACGAGAAGAGAAACATTATGGAGGAACATGTCAGCTGAGAAACAGAAGCATGTGTAGCTTCTGCTCAGCAGCACACTCTACAAACAACTCTACAAACAACTCTACAAACAATCATAAAATCAGTATATTATCATATGTGTATTGAGAATAAAAGGTAATGTTGTGTTCATCTAGCACTATTCAGCATTTTATGCCACTTTTGCAATAATAAATACTCAAAATAGTTGAATTATTTAACACTTTAATCACTAAATTAGGCGCACAATTGCCTCTTAATGTCATCGTATTTCTTTCCCTTTACTTTCCCCTTAACCTCCAGAAAGGCCGCTGAAAACCGGAAGCCGATTTTTGTTAATTATTTGCAAAAAGGGAAACTCAGATGCTAAATGGTTTCCTTTAGCTTTCCCTGACTTTTTTCTAGCTTTCCCTTAACTTTCCTTTAGCTTTCCTTTAGCCTTCCCTTAACTTTCCTTTAGCCTTCCTTTGACTTTCCTTTAGCCTTCCCTTAACTTTCCCTTAGCTTTACTTTAACTTCCCTTAGCTTTCCCTTAGCCTGAGTTTAGTTTCCCCTTAGCTTTCCTTTATCTTTCCCTTAGCTCTCCTTTAGCTCTCCTTAAGCGTTCCTTTAGCTTGCCTTTAACATTCCCTTAGCTTTCCTATAGCTCTCCTTAAGCGTTCCTTTAGCTTGCCTTTAACGTTTTCTTAGCTTTCCTTTAGCTTTACTTTAACTTCCCTTAGCTTTCCCTTAACCTGAGTTTAGTTTTCTCTTAGCTTTCCTTTAGTTTTCCCTTAAACTTCCTTTAGCTTTCCCTTAAACTTCCTTTAGCTTTCCCTTAAACTTCCTTTAGCTTTCCCTTAGCTTTAACCTAACTCACCCTCCTTTTACATGGTTGCTTAAAAAACAAACCTTACCCCATTCATGCCGATGACCGCCCTCTGCCAGTCTTTGTTTTGCAACGTCTGAGGATCCAGCTGAAAAATAAAACAAGAGACAAATTCAATTTGAAGTTTAACTAATGTCGATCCTCTTCAGACATATTGTGCCAGGTAAGGGTTTCCTGCTCCATGCCCCTCCCTCAGCCTCACATAAACATAAAGTCCATATGGCCGGGTGTGTCAGATCTATTTTAGTAACCGGACTAATACCAAACTGTCAGCCTGTCTTCAGAGTGATCAGGCATGAGAACCGTGATAACATCATGTCGTCGCTGAGCACTGAGCAGATGTCTTTTCAACCTTAAACAAACATCAAATCTCATTCCCGAGATACTTTGTTTAGTGAAAATTAGGTTTCTTATGTTATATTTTCAATAAAAATAAATAGAGGTAGTACAATGTGGCTTTCAAAACTAAAGGAATACATCCCAACAGATATTAAACACAGTGTATACCAGAAATAGTTTTTTGAACATTGCCAGAAAATAAGAGGAAGCAAAAACAAGATTCTCCGTATGAGACACTGGTGGATATGGTAAAAAAAAATTAAAGCAATATATATCATAATAACACTTTGCCAGTTGATTACTGACAGTGGGACAATATGTTTTTATATTACAAGTTGTATTAAGTTATGTGTTAAAAATCTCAAATGAGGCAATTTGTTATTAGAAATGCGCCAAATGGCATCGATACCTAAATGGAAATGTGAGCATAAAAATAAATTAACTAACAGATATCACCATGAAACTTCCCCACTTCCTTACTGACATTAACACAATAACTTTTTATATTGCAAGTTTTCTTAAATATTGTGTTTGAATATGCAAATGAGGTATAATGTAATGCTAACTTCTGGAGAATCGAGGAGAAATCGACAGACACAGATAGACAAAGTAAGGAAAATATACTCCTTAATGTGGATTTCGTATGTTTTCTCTCACTGGTCTGAAAGAAGATATATCATGGAAGTCAAATAGGCTGAAATCAGTTGCAGCATCCTTTCCAACGAGCTCTCCTGGACCTTTACCTTGGGTCTGATCAGTCTGCTGCGGACTCTTTCCCACAGACGGGCCCCTGTGCTCTGGGTTTTCCTCGGAGTCGAGTCTACTTCTTCCTCTTGCCCAATACAAGCATGATCCACACTCTCATCCCCATTAGGAATACCCTCACTCATACTTCCTCAACTCTTAAAATGTCACTTTTGATGAATTATAGCAAAACAAAGCGCTGTTCCTCAGATAGCACCAAACTAATTCCCTCTGATCACATGGCCTTTAACGATCTCGATGATCTTCTTTGACGCCGCTCTGCAGAATCTCTAGATATCTTCCGGTCATCTCCACGTCTCGGCATTGTTTTCCTCCTTTCTGTCCAGTGAGATGAGAACAAAGAGAGCCATGCAGGCTGCTGACCACGCTGTGTTGTTCTACTTCCCTGCTGGATTTGTGGGATTAACTCCAGAGAATCCCCTCCTACCCTCATTAACGTCGAGCGGCTGCCAATGAGAGGAGAGCCGGACGCTAATCTAAACTCAGGTAGCATGAACAGGATTAGTTAACTCTAACACCAGACTTAGTCACATCTGATATAACCCTTATATTTCCCCAAAGGCTCTTCTTTCTATGTCATCTTTTATTTTCAGGTTTTAAGGTACTAATACAATCTCACTCATCAGCACAGTACAGGTTCAGGGTATATGCAGGAATCCTGAAGTCAAATGTAAAACCTTTTAAGACCTGTTTTAAGTCCCTTTCCATACATTTTAAGACCTCATCGCCACTTGGAGTTTTAACCGGTTACCTTGGCGACACATTTTACCTCACATTGACTATATACAGTATTGATTGTCCTTCCTCCTTATCTTCCAACCATTTGGACGCAGACTTGCATTTCTCCATAACGATGTTGCTTAGCAACCGGCGTAAACGGACCTTCGCACGCTATCAAGCAGTGAGCGTGCGATGTCCTGTTCAGATGACGTCAAATCCAACGGGATGCCATCAATAAACTACAGAATCACACTACACACCTACGCCATGATTACATTCAGGCAGACTGTAGAATACAACCTCTTTGGACCATTTATGTACTTATTGAAGACAAGCTACAACATGTAATACCTTGGAAAATGCCCTTTAATACTTTTTAATAGCCTTCATCTTCGCTAAATTGATTTATCAACTTTTAATACTTTTTAAGACCCCGCGGACACCCTGAGGTTATTCCATATTATTTGAGTTTAATTGAAGTATATATGTTTCTTTATGTTATTAAAGTATATCTTGGATTTTCCAGCTGTCCCATCTCTTTGTAACTAAAATATGTTGCTTTCATCCAATTCTTGATTCCAATTGATTCCAATTCTTTAAAGAAATCAAAGAAATATAGAATTGTTTTAAACAAATAATTGTTTTATTTATATATTTTAATCGATATATATTTTGTATAGAATTTCAAATATTTTAATTATATGTATTTATTTAATTTATTATATTGTTCATATTTAAAATTAGACTTTTTAACTATTGTTATAGTTTTCCGTTTAAAATTGTATTATACATATTTTGTATTCAAATTATTTTATGTACGTCTAATTTGCGTACGTTAAAACTATTATTATACATTTTTCTAAAATTGAATTGCTTTTGTATTTCCTTAATTATTCTTCTAGAACAATGTTATGATATTTAATAATAATAATTTCTTACTTTTTCCTATTTCTTTTGCATTAGTTTTATAATAAATATTGTTCTTATGTTTATTTAAATAGTATTTAACGTAGTCTTTTTTAATTTCATGTCTTTAAACGTTTTATTTTCATGTGTGTTAATAACTCTTATAAACCTTCACCTAACAGTAACACTTATTTGTTGAGTCATGTTGTCATTCCTCAGACCCTAAGCCCCTCAAAGGTAACAACAGTCTCCATTATGCTGATCCAAACACACAACAAAAGGACCAACGTGACCCCACAGGTCATGAAGGGGAAATCCCTGACAGTGTCTCCAGGTTTCTGACCGACTGTCCAGCAGAGAGAGGGTTTCTCTGGCTGATCAAAGAGCATCTCTCCCCCCTCTAACTCATGAGGAATAAACACAAACACTAATCCTCCATCAGAGGCCTCATGCTGAAGGGCCCTACGGGAGGACTGTTTCTCCTGAGGGTCAGTGAACGCGTCACAGTTGACAGACAGTCGTTGTGACTTGTGGCTGTGAGTGAGTGAGTGTCGTTCTGATCGGTTGGGAGTTGGGATAGGTGTGTGTGTGTGTGTGTGTGTGTGTGTGTGTGTGTGTGTGTGTGTGTGTGTGTGTGTGTGTGTGTGTGTGTGTGTGTGTGTGTGTGTGACTGTGCTTCTCGTGCCTCT